ATCTCATTCTCTTCCTCCCTCACTGTCGTCCGCGAGAAGAAAATAAGAAGGAATAGTAACTTTTTTTGAAATTTCACTTATATAGGTCAACTTAAATCCAACTGGGTAAAGGTTTATCTATCTACACACCTCCATTCATAACCAAACTTTACCCAATGGACTAGAATATTTTTCTAGTCATATTTCTATTTTTACTTTCACTTTTTGGATAACTTTATTTACCCGTATTTTTACATCTTAACTGTCATTTTAACTCATTTTTCACCAAAGGTGACTTTATTTCTTTTACTTCTAATTATTCTCCAATACTAAATCCACAACTACTAATGAGGGTTATTATACAAACAAGCATGGAAAGAAAGCTTCAAAGTCCAACCATAAAAAAGAAGTCTAAACAAGATCATGACTCAAGCTTCAAGATAAGACTCTAAGTCCAAGCAATTTCAAAGTAACATATCATAGGACTTAGGATTATTTGAAAGGGTAATTGATTCCTTACGTTAATGAAGCTCAAAGTATTTTTTCAAATACATGCATTAAATCATTGCTTGACATTCAAATACATTCCTAGCATGAAAATATAGTTTTCAATTTTTATCAAATGTTTAAGAAGTATTTGAAACTGATTTGAATCAAGATAAAATCATTTTAGGGTGAAATCCAACCTTTCAACAGGTTGGTAATCGATTACTCAAGCAATGGTAATCGATTACTTACTGTTCAGAAGACAAAATAACGGCTATTTTGTGAAAATGAGTGCAAAAACAGCCATGGAGGCCCTCTATAAATAGAGAATATTGTTCTGCTTGATGGGACACACTTCTTAATCATTATTAATCATTTATTATCATTCTATTTGCATTATTCTTGTCTTCTTGATCATAAATTCTCTTTGAGCTTTATTCTTGTGAGAGTGTCAACAACTATTATTCTTCAACTTGTATTATTTGTACTTTGAGAGTACTTAGCCATTGTTAAACACCTCCATTTGATTTCTTTAATAGTTAAGGGAGTGAACCCTATACACTAGAGAGGTCACCAAATTCCTAAGAAAATTAGGTGTGAAAAAATTGTGAGGCACCAAGAGCCCGAAGTCTTGAAAGGTTGTAGTGGTTTGTCAAGCACCCTCAAGCTTGATAGTTAGTAAAAAGAATTGATTGAGAAACTTCAGTCTGGACGTAGGTCACGGTGGTGGAGACCAAACCAGGATACATCTAGTTTGCAATTTCTCTAACCTTAACCTCTTTACTTAAGTATTGAAGTTGCATTTTAGATTGTCTTTATATATTCGCTTGCTTACTTTGTTGATCACTACACTTGCTCTCACACTTAGATTTTCTTTTATTAAATCACTTTATTGAAGAAATAGTCTTTAAAATATCAAAGGAGGCACTTTGCGAAAAGATTTTGTAAAACTCAATTCACCCCCCTCTTGAGTATTTGTCCAACAACAACATCATGTTGCATTTCATAAAAAAAAAACTCTAACATAGCTTAGCTTAACCAATGCTTGCATCACTGGTTGATACCTTAGTAAGAATTTGAGCCAAAACACATGATTTTCCTTGTTGAGTGGTCACTTTACATTGGAGTTCTTTATTTAATTAATTCCTAGACGACTGGTATGCATACTTCCATATGAGAAGGGCACTTGTTTGTGTATTGGAAAACCTAAATCTAAACAGCCCACCTTGTCTTTGAATTAAATCCATTGAACCCCTATTTGAGCCTTGGCCTTTCTTTTTTGATATATAACTTGTATAGTAGTAGCCAAATTCCATTTCCTACCCTATTTTGGAAGTCTTAGTATTTAATTAATTTTTCTTAGGCTAAAAAGACTAAAGCAGTAAAGAAGGCTGTAAGAAGCTAGCTTAAAAATAATAAGTGTATAAAAAAAAAGAAAAAAAGTGAAAGGTGTAAAATAAGAGCAAGGAAAAAGTAAGGAAGCATCAAGTAGAAAAGAAAAGGAGAAAGAACCCCTAGTGATAAAACAAAATAAAAAAAAAAGAAGGAAAAAGAAAAATGAATGTGAAGAATGCAAGTATTGGAATTGAAAAGAAAAGAAGGGTTATTAGAATATATATAAAGAAAACATATGGCGAAAAAGAGGGTGAACAAAAAGAAAATAATGGTGCATTTGATGAAAAGAAGTGAGTTAGTAAAAAAGAAAAGAGAAGAAAAGAAGTTGTTTCTTATTGTCATTCACCAAATTAAGTCTTATAAGCCTATTGAGGGTTAATTAGACACTTAAGGCTATCCATAGTAAGCCAAGTATCCTGAAAAATAAAAGACCAAACCTAGCCCCATTACAAGCCTAAAATACTCTTTGATGGAAATGGTATACTAGACATCAAGTGTCTAGGTAAATTAGGAAAGATGCAACAATGTATTATGATGATGAGTGACTGACCTCTAATAATAAAAATAAAGTGAAAATAAAGGGTGAAAGAGACCAGTGAGGAACTCGGTAATTAGGCATTAGTTGATATAAGTTATGATGAGTGATTGTTTGATATGAAGTGTAACAATGATTTTTGTTTGTTTCATTAATAACTTAGTATGAAATAAATCATTGGTCTGTTGTGGATATTGAATGACAAACGGAGTTATTGATGATAAGGGTTGGAATGTAATAAAAAAAAATTATACTGTCATGACTACTTAATTTGGCTCAATAACTAAAATTTTGAAAGAAAAAATAGTTGACAAAATCTTATACTTGGATGTCTGCTTGAGGACAAGCAGTTGCTTATGTTTGGGGTATTTTGTTAGTTGTAAAATTTTCCTAACTTAGCAATGTATTTCTTATAGTAAATGGGCTGGAGTAATATGATTTTTGCATGAAAAGTGACCTAATTTGCAAAGAATGAGCCTAATAAGGAATGTGGACTGATAATGGAAATTTTGTAAATATGCTGATATTTATAGAAGGTTAGTAGAAGGAAAGACTTGAGGTGGAACAATCTGAACTGTGGATTGATTTTCGAGCAATCAAATGGACAACATTCACTTGGAGTTTTTAGTTTTAAAGTCTAAGTCTTTGAGTTGTAAAGACACTTAGAAGAAATTTTGTTTTGTCAGTTTTCAATTTTTTTGAGCACTTTTAGTTTTCTTTTAAAGTCTGAGTTTGAGCTTTGTAAGTTTCTTGGAGATACATGTACAAGAAAGGACATCACTCTTGAAGGGATTCAAGAAAATGGATTTTCGTGCGCAGCTTTTGGATTTTCAGTACTGTGGTTAAGCTTTTCTTAGTTTTAGCAATTACATTTTGAAGAATCAATTGATCTGTACCTCTAACTTTCTTTACTGATTTTGATCTTTTGTGAATGAACAACATGAATTTCTCTGACATTCCACGTTTCCGAAACGGATCCTATCAAATATTTTACATTTTCTATGATCATCTCTATTTTAGGTATTCGGGGAATCCTCCTTAATAGACGAAATATTCCTATTATGTCAATGCCAATTGAATCAATGTTATTAGCTGTGAATTCGAACTTTTTGGTATTTTCCGTTTCTTCGGATGATATGATGGGTCAATCATTTGCTTCATTGGTTTCAACGGTGGCAGCTGCGGAATCAGCTATTGGGTTAGCCATTTTCGTTATCACTTTCCGAGTCCGAGGTACTATTGCTGTATCCTTTTATGTCAAATTTTACTTGTGCTTTATTTTTTTACATGGATTGCTAAATTTTCTTTCTAGAATTCTGACGAAAATGATGAGTACCTATTTCATAATCTGAATTGTTGTGCATGTTCTTGATGTTTGATTAATGAAACTTTCTAGTTTGAGTTCCACAGGAATGGACTTTAACATTTCTTGCATGAACTTTTGTTGAAAAATTTGAGTTTATGAATTTCATTAATTAATCACTTCAAGATTATGGATCATTTGGGGTAGAAATTGATTACACTTCATCAATGAATTGACTCAAGATTAAGGGATTAATTTGACTCAATTCATAACTGGGCTTGGGAAAATTCAGTTAGGTTCTACAAAAATCAAGTTCTATCAAGATAGTTGCTACAACAATTAAAATGCATTCATGAAACTTTTAAGAGAAAGTCTTTGAAATCAGAATTCTAGAGTTTTAATCTTGATTCTAAACTGTTTGAACATGAATTGAGCACTTTTGATTAGTTTACGATTTTAGAAATCAAAATTTTCATTGAAAAATTAAATACAATCAAGTTCAAGAAGCTAAAAATTAGAATAGATAAAAGAGATAAATTTTCTGTTGCTGTGAACGATACTCGAATTCTTTTTTATTCTATGCTTTTACCAACATAAGTCATGGCATAACTCCTATTTATTCACTATTAAATCCTTAATCAGTTCACATTCCCTCGTTCAGCGGTTAGAGTTATTATAATGCTTGCCCATAGATCAAATAGTGCTCAACTACTATAGTGGTCACCAATGGTGCAAGGAATTGTTAAACTCCTTGGATCCTCTTGTTTCGGAGATAACGTTCTAAACAAGTATTTGCTACTCTTTTGTGTGAGAGCAACCGTTTGAAATTCCTCCTATCTCTTATTTCTAGAGAGGATCTCGTTCACGAATTTAACGTAAGTGGGCATCTATTCATCAAGCGCTTCAGTTGGAGCGATATTAATTAATGTGCAGCTATTTTAGCGGTCCAAAAACTTCCTAAATTGATCATTTTGCTTCTGCTTTTGATGTCTTTGTCTTGCAACGCTATGTTTGAACCTTCCCTTGTTCGATACAATATTCTCCAATATACCACACAAAAGGAAAAGAAGCACCTAACTTGTGAGGCTCATTTAATGGAGGGAGAACCCATCTCATCGACAAAAACGGTGCTAAACGCCATTGATCTTATAAACACTCCCAACTACCCAACTAAATCTAAATTCTAGGACTATATTCACAAAAAGTAATAGCAGATAGAGCACTTAATGCACAGTTAGTCCCAGGAAAGCTATTATAAATAATGCAAGTATGGGACAAGAGTAACTCAATCCTTCAAACATTTCCCTTTTTCAGCTTCATTGCCAAACCAAGCTGGTTTGGCCTAGTTGTTTTCGCAATGAGAAATTCTTCCACGTTGAAATGCGCACTCTTGCGCTTCTTTGTTCCCTTGTTGCTTATTGCCAGCTTCTGTTATGCTCCTTCTGCTATAGCAACAACTGAAGTTTCAGGTTTGTGGCTCATGCTGACACTGAATGAAGAATGAAAAACTATTCATGAATTGTGTATATTTATTAAGACTAAATTTTTAGGAAATAGAAAATTTACCACTTAGCCACAACACTTCATACATTAAAATCAGTCAGCGAAAATTATGGTTACTTGCTAGTTAAACTTTTGACTGTTATTACTGTCATCCAAATTAATTCAATTCAATGATATATTTTAGCATCAACATGCATGTAATTAAATTGTGGTCTATTCTGCTACTTGACATCTAGTAGTATGGTCACCACAAGAGGTGTAATTATATTGCTATTTAGATTGGCACATTTCTTTTTTGTATTTATATATTCACTCTATATATATATCTATATGAAAGAATTCAAATTAACTATCATGGAACTATTATATATCTAACTGATGTACTTTTGCATTCCTTTTTCAGGGAATGAAGTGAACACCGATGGGAAGCTTGTAAATGAGGAACATACAAAGACAAGCCTAGGAGGACATAATGAAGAAGCAAAATTCAAAGGATTTTTTTTCCCAAAACCAATTCCATTTGTTAAGCCTATACCAAAGCCAATTCCAATTGTTAAGCCTATACCAAAACCAATTCCCGTTGTTAAGCCTATCCCTATTCCAGTATATAAGCCTATTCCGAAACCAATTCCCGTTGTTAAGCCTATTCCAAAGCCAATTCCTGTTGTTAAGCCTTTCCCTGTTCCAGTATATAAGCCTATACCAAAGCCAATTCCCGTTGTTAAGCCTATTCCAAAGCCAATTCCTGTTGTTAAGCCTATCCCTGTTCCAGTGTATAAGCCTATACCAAAGCCAATTCCTGTTGTTAAGCCTATCCCTATTCCAGTGTACAAACCTATTCCTATTGTTAAGCCTATACCAAAGCCAATTCCAGTTGTTAAGCCTATCCCTATTCCAGTGTACAAGCCTATACCAAAGCCATTTCCAATTGTTAAGCCTATTCCAAAACCATTTCCTCCCATTGTTAAGCCTATTCCATAGTCTATATATCTCGACATCAATTGCGTTAGCATAATCCAATTGTACCCATCATGTGTATTTTATTGGAATATATGTAATTAATGCTTTCGCTTCAATAAAGTTCTCAGGATTGCTCTTGTAACTTGATTCTAGTAATCCAAGAATCCTACTGATTTTCTATTACTATTTTTGTTTAAATAGTATTTTTAATTTGTGTTTCTTTTCATTATTTTGTGTGATTTAAATTTTGAGCAAAGCTACTCGTACAACAGTACTAACCATACAATATATATATATATATATATATATATATATATATATATATATATATATATTATTTTAATTTTAGTACTTCCTCATCATTGTATGTGTCATATAGGTTTTTGAATATTCATGTTATATTTGACTCTGAAGAATTTATTTCTAAAACTAAAATCACCTTATCAAAATCTCTCATAGTTATTAATTGTCTAATATTCCCTTCTAAAATTTTAAATTTATGCAATGACATATGACTTGAATTGTATTTTTTTTTTTGGGAGATTATTCCTCGATAATTGTATAGATTCTCTATGAACTAATCCGGAGTTCGGGACAGATCCAAGATTAAGATTTTAAACCCCAAAGATGGTATTAGGAGGATCGAACACACGCTCTTACCCCACTAACTTAACTTCCATGAGCCAATTGAAGTATTATTATTTGGTTTTGACTTGAATTGTATGATTCGTCACAATTAAATATTGTAAGTTTCTTAAATGTAATTCGGAGTTCCGAGTAGGTTCAAAATTAAGATTTTAATCTCCATCAAAAATAATATTGAAAAAAATTAAATATATATTCTTATCGCACCTACTCAATTTTCATGCTGAGCTACCGTTATTTTGTTCGGACTTGAATTGCATGATTCTTCACCAACTAATATTACAAGTTTCTTAGAGGTAACTATAAACGTCGTGCTCCCTTAGGCCTACGCGATTTTAGATTTACTTTTTAAAATAAAATTCCTTTTCATTTTTTTTAAATTACACCTGGAAATACATAGGAGTGAGTCATTATGTCAAATTAAAATTTTCTATTTATTCAGTATCTCTGTTGTGAATAATTATACTTCTTTAAATTTATTTTTTATTTTAGAAAATTTATTAATAATTTGTGTCATTAATTTAAAAGACTTATATGCACTATCATTTTAAGCTTACTATTCTTATTACCTAATTAGTTATCGTTGAATCAATTTTAAATCAACGATTAAAAAATAAAAAAATAATAGTCATCGATTTTAAGTTGATCCAATGATAATTAAAATTATGTAATAAAACTAAAATAGTATTAAATATAACCCTCCATATTAATTTAAGATAATAGTTTTTTAGCGGCTGTAAGTTCGTAACCGACTGTCAAATCCATTCAAAAGATTAAATTTCTTAAATAAAGGAATTTTTCAAAATTTTCTCAAATTAAATACCTTTTGATAGCAACTTCAATTTTATTTTTAATTTTTTCGCTGTCCCGTCATAACTCCACTTATAATAACATGACATTCACTTAATAATAAAGAGTTTGCTGAAAAAAAAAAATATCATGAGTTTATAAAACAACGTTGATATTAAAGTTTGAACTTATAACCTTATCGACGTTAACGAGGCCCCTCACCATTAGTTAGTCCTAATGGCTTCAATATCGTAAGTTTATAACAAAGCAAATTCCAATTTTAAAGCCTGTATAAAAACCATATCCAAATAGAGAAATAGCTTATCCCTATTTTCAGAGTAGTGTAAGCTTATACCAAAACCAATTTTAATTGACAGGCCTGAACCAAAACCATTTCCAATACTGAAGAAACGAATATATATTTAAGTATTTTTTTTTTTTTTTTTTGAGTTGGACCTATTTAAGTATTAGTCCAACTTTTTTCCTGAGACAGACAACTTTGTCTGTCACTCTTACCAAAAAAAGAATGGAACCCACAAAAATTTAGTTTGTCAAAAAATTATACTATATATTTGCGAAAATACACAAGAGTGTAGCACATAAAAACGTCTTCCACAAAGGTAGAACAGTTTTTCCGTTTAAGTATTTAAGAATCCTATACACATATCGATTATATTTGTTCAGGAGCCATTTCCTCCCAAAAAAAACCCATCTCTGCTCCACATATTCCCGCAGTTGAGCCAGAGTTATTCTAAATCCAAAGCCAAAGCCCTTCTTCAGAAAGCTACTGCTACCACCTTTGCCAATTGAGAAGACAATCCAAGTCCATAAGATTATAAGACTCTTCTTACACACTCCCTTTTAAAAAAATTCATACTTTTTATTAGAATTAAAAATATTAAAATTTAAAAACACAAAGTGCATGAATTGTCTTATTTTTTAGTAGATTTTTAGTAGATATTACAGAGTGGTCAGAATTAAAAAAGAAAAAAAGAAAAAAAAAAGTTCCCATTTCGGAATATCTACCTACCCACCTATTCAAGCAACGAACACACGTGGTTTAAATGCACAATGGCTACACAGGGTGATAGTCTTTAACGCTCATGACGAGACCCACAAGCCAAGCTTACAAAAGAGAGTCCTAATTTTGTTCCAATCACCTGTCAGGAGGGTTTAGGTACATGCCACTTCTGTGTCTACAACCTTCTTTTGTGAATACCAGTCAACTTAGGGGTACAGGTGAGTTTCCCTCTCATGTACTGGGACACTAATAGGACGGCTATTGATTTAAAGGTAGCAGCCGTTTTTGTATGTACTTTTATCCTATGCGATCTATTTTTATTTTTATTTTTAGAAATATTTCAATCGGTTCATCGCTTCGTAATTAGTCCGATTTGGAGTGAGTCTAGGATTAAAGTTTTAAAATCCTTCTAAAGGGTGGTACTGGGAAGGATCGAACATATGCTCTCACCTCCACCTGCTCAGCTCCTATGCGCCAACTGAACTACCACTATTTGGTAGCAATATATATATATATATATATATATATATATATATATATATATATGATAGGTTATTCTACCTACCATTTTTTCTGCTTACCTTTATCTACTACTTTCCAACACTGTTATATCTGAATCCCGAGAAGAGAGAAAAATAAAGATTAGTTAAGATTCTAATCTAATGATGTTTTAAAATGATAGACAAAGATAGGCATAAGTAAAATAACTTATCCCCATATATATATATATATGTGTGTGTGTCTAGGGAAAAATGTGTATAATTTTAAAAGATGTAAAGTTGTGTCATTTTAAGTGAGAGAAAAAGATAGATAAAGCAAGAGAGAAAGTGAACAAAAAAATATAAAAATATGGATCTCACTTTTTTGTGAAAGTGAAATAACATAAATTGTGTCATTTAAAAAGACAAACACTTTTTTCATATATAAGCAACATTTGCATTAGAAGAACACAAGAAGCTCGCAGCTTCTTGCATTGTGGAACTATAGGAGGAGTTTGCAGTTGTCACGGTCACTGATGAATTAATCAATTATAATGATGATTGGATTATAGATTTTGGGTGTTCCAATCATATCAATAGAGATATGAAGTTGAAAGACATAAACGAGTATACATAGGGGAAAGGTGTTACTATAGCAATCAATGAAAAATTGCACATCACTCGTGTGGGAAAGGCAATAATAATGCCTTGATTCAATTCTAACCAGTTACCATGATAATGAGTTCCACATGCCAAGGGCGAAGAAAAATCCACTTTTAGTATCAGAGCTTAAAAGTTTTTTGAAATTATGTGATGTTCAGTCTAGACACAATATAGAACAGTATTAAGGACATAATTTAGTGTAACTTATTCCCGGCAACGACGCAAAAAACTTGTTAGGTGTGAACTTGTTGGTTGCTTATATATTCTTTTAAAGGATGTTCCATTTGCTAAGTTCATCAAGAGAAAACACATTCGTTCTCTTGACTTCAACCCAAGTGCGCAAGTGCACGCATCAAGTAATAAATAAGATTATTAATGTCAAGATTATCGTTCCCACGAGGATAGGACTCTAAATAATACCTTAAAGTGTTCTAAAAAGAATTAAGATGAAAAGAAAAGACAGTATTTGAACTGTTCGGACAGACGTTCCCTACTATCTTGATAACGTTCCTCAAGGATAGCAAGTTCAATATGACTTCAAACAACTTCTCGCGTCGTTATATATCATATCCTTCTTGATGAGGGAAGGAACGACAATATTCATTGGAGGTTTGGTATTGTAGTCACAAGATTCATAAAAGAAAATAACAACTAAATAACAATACTTAAGAGACAACAATATTGGTGGATAAAAATAGTTTTTAACACAAGGAACGGATCCACTGTTCCATTCTTAAATGACTATATTCTCAACTCAAGACTTAACCCTTCTGAATTTGTTCAGGTCTTTTCACTTCCAACTCTGATTCTGCAGCTCATGGACTAAATGGCTCACAAGTTTCCATATTCATATGGCTCCCTTGACTCCAACAGTTACTTCACTCAGAACCTTCAGTAAACGAGGTGGTTCCTTATTCCTAAGTCAACCAGTAGTGTTGTTTTTACAACACTACCTTCCTCATCTGATTAAGTTGTCTGAAATTCTTTCCTTATGGAAGTTCCTTTCTTAGTTTGAGTTCAATTTCCATTGATACGCAAAGAATGAAAGACACTTAATCACATAAATACAAAAGCTTCAGTGCAAAAGTTTTAAATATAGTTCTTTAAGAACTTCACAGTTTTTCCGTTCCACAACTAACTTTAGCCTATGGCTATAACTGTGAACATAATTATTCCAAACTAAAGTCCCATAGATCCGAGATTCAGTTCAGAGATAACGATTGGATGAGAAAATAAATAACAAGTTATATTAATAAGAAATAGATTAGGTTACAACAAAATAAAATGGAGAAGTATGGTTGTTGCTCGTGAGGAGTCTCAAATGGAAGGTTTAGAACAGAGATAGAGTTGTTGTCACTTAACTACTGCTAAAACTATAGAACTGAAAAGTAAAAACTAAAACTGAAACTAAGTGATCTCTTCTTAAGGAATTCGATGATTTCTTTGTGTTGGAACGTTCTATTTATAGGCTAGAAGAGTGGATGGCAAAGATTGTAATTTCATCTGAGTTGTTTTCTTGACTGCATGAAAGGGGCGGTGTGAATAGTGCTCAAGAGGGACGCAAGTTGCTGGATGTGACACTTATTGTTGAGATTTGCCTTTCCTCCTGCA